CCCTTTTCTGATGAAGGGTCTAGGCCCGAAACGTCAGCCTCTCTGCTCCTATGATGCTGCTTGGCCTGCTGTGTTCATCCAGCCCTGCACCTTGTTGTCTCAGATTCTCCAGCATCTGCAGCTCCTACTATCTCTGATTAAATTGTAAGATATATGTGTAGCCAAATATTGGCAGAACTGAGGTTTCCTGTGTGTATTGTGCAGGGTTTAGCTACTGTGTGTCATGGAAGCCTAGTGGTTTAAGGTACTGTGTTCATATTGCAGTTTTCTCTGCAGGTGTGGGTTTAAATCCCCCTCCCAACACTGAAGGCTTTATTTTAAATTTATGAATGACTGTGCTGTCACCTTGTGATAAAGTTGACACTCTTTCCCCTACCCCCCACTGCATGATTCGGGGCCACAACCTGCTGCCTTGGAGTCAGACTTGCTACCACTGCTTCAGGATGGTTGGCAAACCCACAAGTTAATGTTTGTGTTTTTGGGTGAATGTGAATGCGTGGCGACCCAGCCTCCCCCCAGTGTCGATGATGAATGCAGTATTTGGTAATGGAGCTCTCAACAAAACGAGCGGCTGCAGAGAAACTCTCTCTCTCTCGTTGCCCTCCATCAGCCTGCGGAGAGAATTGAGCCTCTTGATTCATTAAGATCAGTGGAGGATCTGGGAGACAAACAGGAGGCTGGAAGAACACAGCAAGCCAGGCAGGATCTGGGGGAAAGTAGAAATCAACGTTACGGGTATTACCCTTCATCAGGGCTGGATCGGGGGAATGGGCAAGTGGGAGTGAACTGTTGTCAAGGAGGTGTGTTTAAGAAGGAACTGGTCACCCAGAATGGGGTTCAAAACGACACCCCTGAGATTAAGGGTCTCATGCTCTACCAATTGAGTTAGCCAGGCATTACACTGCAGGGTCCTGCTCTCTTATCACTTGTTGCAGTAAATTTGTTTGCCTCAATGATTCTCTTTTATATGTAAAAGTCCTGCTGCTGGTGCTGGACATTGGAAATTCAAACCAACATTATTTACAATCCACAGCTTGGATCTGACAAAATTCATCCAGCTTCCTCTTCCTGCTGCTGCTCCTGTCAGGGGAACCTACAAATAACCTCCCTCCCACACGCTCACTGCAAATACTCACAACCTGCAGCTTTCACACACGGCTCTCAGCACTGACACACCGGCCAAGCACACACACACACATGGACAGACACACAGCACAGAAACAGAGAGGGAGATAAAGCCAGGGAGACAGACAGCAGGACACACAGAGACCCTACACCCATCCCTATCTCTGTCACCTGCTCCAGACCCTTACACCCCTCCCTTATCTTTGGCACCTCCTCCAGCCCCTATGCCCCTCTCTACCTCTATAATGTCCTCCAGTGCCTACACCCCTCCCCATTTCTGTAATTTTCTTCAGCCCCTACACCTTTCCCTATCTCTGTAACATCTTCTGGCCCTATACCCCTCCCTATATTTGTAACTTCCTCCAGCTCCTACACCCCTCCCTATCTCTGTAACCACCTCCAGCCCCACACCCATATCTCTGTAACTATGTCCCATCAACTGATTTCTACACCCCTCTAATTCCAGCCTGTTTATCTAACTGATTTGCAATCTTAGAGTCATACAGCACAGAAAATGAGACTTTTCTAACTATCTAACTCCCTAGCATCTATTGATCTGCCTATCTGTCTGTCCATCTCTCTATCTGTCTGTCTGTCTATCCAGCTATCTATCTCTGCAAATGTTTCTCCGTCTACCTATGCTTTGCCAAACTCTCTGACATAATATATCTCCAGGACATGATGTTGCGTATTATACTGGTGACTTGCTACTGTCATGCGTGATATTTGTGTTAGCTCCCATGATGTGAAGATGAAATCTCAGTCACTTTGTACTGAAGGTTGCAGTAAACATGTGTGATACCCACTGGCATCCCCATGTGTCCATTACAATGACAGGCTCTCACGTGACTGGGTTCAGCTTAAGCCATTCAGATGTACTGCGGTATGTCTAGCATGTCATGCTGCAAGAGGGCAGTCAGATGGAGACCAAAATCTTTATATCATCAGGTCACAGGCTTTGGTACAGTGATCCAATCAGGAGGACCTTCCTCAATGCAATATTGCATATCTGCTGTGAGATCTAACTGTCTATCATCTTCTATCTGATCTATTTACCAAACTTTTTGTTTGTTATCAAACCACCTACTTATCTTTTGCTTCACCACCTCTGCTGCTATTCACACTTTGCCCAGTTAACAGAAGCTAACTGCTGATGACATTACAGTGTTTCAGTCATGAGCAGGGAGCTCCAGGAGAGTAAAATTGTGAAGTGTGACCATGAGGAACAATCTTTGACCTTTGACCAAGCCGTTAAAGGTCAGGGATGACATGTGAAGGCTGAACATGGCCAATCTCCAGTTTGTTTGTTGACTGGACTGCAAACATTGTGATACAGGGGAAAAGTACGAGAGCTGGTCTTTAATAATAATTAATCCGTCCCCTGGAATGACAAGTCGAAACAGGAAAATGTGGTGAGTTAGAAAGAATTCCTCATTGTAATGTATGTGTTTAATGTGTTTACAATGCTGGATGTGTAGAATTTCAGTTCTTAGAATCTTGTTATTTACTTGAAGTAAACAACGGTGTAGTTCCTTAACTCAAGAATACCTTCACTCTGTTAGCTGGGAACCCCTTTAGTAAGAGAATCATTTTCATCAATTTTTGCAGCGCTTATTTGATTTGATTTAATTTATTTATTTTCACATGTACCTAAATACAGTGAAAAGCTTTGTTTGCAAGCAGTACAGGCAGATCATAGAAAGCAAGGGTATATAGATCATAGGGTGAAAAAAAACTTGGACAGAGTAAGACATACAGGTTACACCGCACAGGACATGGGCTAGACAAGATCAACATTAACAAGATCAACATTATTTGAAATTAGAGAGACCATTCATCAGTTTAAAGCAGCAGGAAGAAGCCATCAGAGAGGCTAAGAAGCAGTACCAGACAAAGTTAGAGGCCCAGACCTGTCAAACAGACTCCTGCCAACTATGGCAAGGCCTAAATGGCATATGGGATACAAAATGAAACAACGTAAGTTAGCGGACAATGACACATCCCTTCTGGACACGCTCAATGCTTTCTACGCTCGGTTTGAGCAGAATACCACCGGCGTGGAGATGCCTGCCCCGACAGCCCCAAACACACCAGTTCCCTCTGTCACCACTTCAGAAATCAGATCAGTCTTCCTGAGAGTCAACCCGAGGAAAACGATGGGCCTGGATGGTGTCCCCGGCCAAGCACTCAGGTCCTGTGTGGACCAACTGGTGGAGGTATTCACCGACATCTTCAACCTCTCCCTCCTACAAGTCAAAGTCCCCACCTGCTTCAAGAAGACCACAATCATCCGCCTACCCAAGGAAACACTGATGACAATATAGTGTTTCAGTTGTGAGCAGTGTGCCTTAATGACTACCACCCAGTAGCTCTGACTTCAATAATCATGAAGTTCTTCGAGAGGCTACTCATGGACCACATCAACTCTAGTCTTCCAACCTGCCTCGATCCCCTACAGTTTGCCTACCGATATAACAGGTACACGGAGAATGCTAAATCCCTAGCCCTGCACTCATCCCTGGAACACCTGGACAACAAAGTCACCTACGTTAGACTCCTGCTGGTTGACTACAGTTCCATCTCTAACACCATTATCCCCTCCAGACTGATCTCCAAACTGTGTGACCTTGGTCTCGGCACAACCCTCTGCAACTGGGTCCTCAGCTTTCTGACCCATAGGCCACAATCAGTGAGGATAGGTAACTGCACCTCCTGCATAATAACACTCAACACTGGAGCCCCTCAAGGATTTGTCCTCAGCCCCTACTGTACTCCCTGTACACCCACAACTGTGTTGCCAAATTCTGAATGAACACCATCTACAAGTTTACCGATGACACTAGCGCAGTGGGACGGATATCTAACAATGACGAGTCAAAATACAGAAGGGAGATAGAGGGCTTGGTGATGTGGTGCAATCAAAACAATCTGTCTCTCAACGTTGGCAAAACTAAAGAACTGATCAGAAAGAAAAGAGGAGAACATGCCCCCATCGACATCAACGGAACTGAGGTTGAGAGGGTGAAGAGCATCAAGTTCCTCGGAGTGACGATAACCAATGACCTTTCCTGGACTTCCCACATAAATGCAACAGTCAAGAAGGCACAACAATGCCTCTTCTTCCTCAGGCAGCTCAGGAAGTTTGGCATCTCCATCAGATTGCTCACCAACTTCTACAGATGCACCATTGAAAGCATACTATCTGGGTGCATGGTGGCCTGGTATGGCAACTGCTCTGCCCAGGACCGTAAGAAACTACAGAAGGTGGTGTGCACAGCCCAGATTATCACAGAAGCCAACCTTCTCATCCAGGGACTCCACTTCCATGGCTCGCTGCCATAGAAAGGCAGCCAAAATTGTCAAAGACCCATCACACCCTGGCAATGACCTCCTAAAGCCACCTTCACCAGGCAGAAGATAGAGAAGCCTGAAGACATTCACAAGCTGGTTCAGGAACAGCTTCTTTCCAGCTGTTGTCACACTGTTTAATGGACTCTAGCCTCAAATAATGTAATCTGTAATGTAACCTGTCGGCTTCTAAGTCTTTTTGATCGGTACATCCTTTGCTTGCTGCAGTCTGCCTGTACTGCTCGTAAACAAAGCTTTTCACTGTATTTTGGTATATGTGACAATGAATCAAAATCAAATCAAGCACCAACGATTAGATACTCTGGTTTCTTTTTACCTCTGACGTGTTGATTGATGGAGAAGTACTGGCCAGGATGCTGCAGAGGTGAACCCCACTGCATATCATTGATATATAACCCTGGATAGTTTACATCTAATCAAGCCAGCAGATAGAACCTCAGTTTAAGATGGTGTCTGAATAAAGCATAGCTGATGCTGCAAGTGCAAGTGCAAGGAGGCAAATGCATTGGGACCAACACTGCTTTGGGATCAGCACTGCCCTGGGACCAGCACTGCCCTGGGGCCAGCACTGCCCTGGGGCCAGCACTGCTTTGGGACCAGCACTGCCCTGGGACCGGCACTGCTTTGGGACCAGCACTGCATTGGGATCAGCACTGCATTGGGATCAGCATTGCACTGGGACCAGCACTGCACTGGGATCAGCATTGCACTGGGACCAGCACTGCATTGGGACCAGCACTGCTTTGGGACCAACATTGTACTAGGACCAGCACTGCATTGGGATCAGCATTGCACTGGGACCAGCACTGCATTGGGACCAGCACTGCTTTGGGACCAACATTGTACTAGGACCAGCACTGCATTGGGACCAGCACTGCATTGGGACCAGCATGGCTTTGGGACCAGCACTGCATTGGAATCAGCACTGCATTGGGACCAGCACTGCATTGGGGCCACCACTGCATTGGGACCAGCACTGCTTTGGAACCAGCACTGCATTGGGACCAGCACTGTATTGGGACCAGAACTTGATAGGGACCAGCACTGCATTGGGACCAGCACTGCTTTGGGACCAACACTGTATTGGGACCAGAACTTGATAGGGTCAGCACTGCACTGGGACCAGCACCATGGGATGCAGATAGATGGGTGAGCGTGAATGTGTGGAGCCTCTGTGCGTACGGCACAGCCTCCCCCAGTGTCGATGATAAAGGCAGCACTCGGTAATGGGGATAGTCGGAACTGCCGATGCTGGAGTCTGGGGTAACAAGGTGTGGAGCTGGATGAATACAGCAGGCCAGGCAGCATCAGAAAAGCAGGAAAGCTGACGTTTCGGGTCTAGACCCTTCTTCAGGAAAAAAATAAGAAGGGTATGGACCCGGAACGTCAGCTTTCCGGCTCCCCCGAAGCTGCCTGGCCCGCTGTGTTCCTCCAGCTCCACACCTTGTTAACTCGGCAATGGAGCTGTCAGCAAAACGAGCGGCTGCAGAGAGAGTCTCTGCATCTCTGCGCTTCTTCAGACTGTAGAGAGAATTGAGCGTCTTGATCGGTGAAAGATCAAGGTGAGTGGCCAAGTGGGATTGAGGTGTTGACATTAAAGTGAGTGTCTTTAAACAAAATGAAAACACAACCGCCCAACGTGGGGCTCGAACCCACGACCCTGAGATTAAGAGTCTCATGCTCTACCGACTGAGCTAGCCGGGCCTCACATTATAAATTCTTGCCTTATTACTTGCTGTGGTCAAATTATTTCCTATGTTTTTTCACTGTGATGTTTTATCTTTCAAATGTACGACTGCTGCTACTGGAAATGCGAAATTAAAACCAATATTATTTACAATCCACAGCATGGATTTGAGAAAACTCATCGAGGTTACACCTCCTCCTGCTGCTCCTATCTGGGTGGGTTAACCCTGCAATAACCTCCCTCACGCTCCCTGCAAGCAGTCACACACAGCCCTCAGCACCCTCACGCTGGTCAAACACACACACACAGCCAGAGACACGGGGTGAGACAGAAGCAGAGAGAGATGCAGGGAGAGAGAGCAAGAGAGACACAGAGACAGAGAGGGATTTACAGAGAGAGACACACAGAGACTCTCGGTGTCCGAGTCTGTACAGGTCTGTCCATAGAAATAACCATTAGCTGATAACAGTAAATCACAGGGAAGAAAGGACATGTGCAGAGACTTTGTTGGTAGGTCATTTCCATAGTGTAGTGGTTATCACGTTCGCCTCACACGCGAAAGATCCCCAATTCGATCCTGGGCGGGAACATTCATTATTGTCTGCCTTCCTACTCCTTCACGGAACTGGCCCAACTGACACCTCACTCAATTTTCTTTCTTACTGTCCTGACAAGCAGCTGTTCAATCCAGAATTGTCATGGAATACTAGCCCAGCTTGCCTGGATGGGCACATCTCCAACAATGCTCAAGAAGGTCAACGTGATCCAGGGCAAAGCATCCTGCTTGATTGACACCAAATCCATAAATGGCTACTCCCTCCACCACCAACGCAACAGTGTCCACCATGCAAAGGTGGACTGCAGAAATTCAACACAGCTTCTTAGACAGCACCTTCCAAACCCGTGACCACTTCCATCTAGAAGGGGAAGGGCAGCAGATACATGGGAACACCAGCCCCTTGAAGTTTTCCCTCTGATCCGTTCACCCATCCTAACTTGGAAATATATCAGCCATCCCTTTAGTGTCAGTGTCACTGGGTCAAAATCCTGGAATTTCCTCTCTAACGGCACTGTGTGGGTATCCCTACACCACATGGACTACAGTGGTTCAAGAAGGCAGCTCATCCCCACCTTCTCAAGGGGAAGCTAGGAATGGGCATTAACCCCTGGACCAGCTAGCGATGTCCACATCCACATGTTGCACTGAGGGTCAGTACTGCACTGGGAAGGGTCATCTTTGATTTTTGTGCTTGAGGTCTGAAGGGGATTTAGGGGAAGGCATGTGTCTTGAACCAGGAACCCTGAGGCTCAGAAATATGAGATATAGCTCTGACAAATAGTAATGGAGCAAAATTTTACATTGGTGCTTAGTCATCTACATTTTCTAATATTTCACCATCTTCAAAACATCTTTTTTTGGAGCCAAACAATTTGCTGAACTAAATATCCTGACTTTTAATAAAAGATATGTATTTGTATATTAGTTATACTATATTGTATACATATAGTATATGAGGAGCCTATCTATGAATAGAATAGATTATCCTTTATTGTCACACGTACTCCATACTCTATTGCAGAAGTACAGTGAAAAGATTTTCCAACATTTGCTTCTTATGGTACCATCTTAGGTGCCAGTACCTAGGTACAAATCTTGAATACTAAAGAGGAGTAAAAAGTAGTTGCATTACTTTACAGAGTTTAAAAAATAAGACAACTTTAAAGGATTGGCATTACAGTTGGGAAAAAAATTTAAATAAATGCTACATTGTAGCAGTTCAGCACAGGGCCTCCACACATGATCTGACCACCAACACCAGGCCCCAGCCCAACAGCCATCCCCACTCCACTCCAAGCCTTCCGTACTGGCACTCAGCTACTCCAACGTAAGTTCCGGGACTGCCTCCCCTGCGCCAGTCCCCACCTGGACATCACTGCCTCAGGAATCGCTCCCTACGTGCTAGTCCAGGACTCCCTGCCTGTGTGCTGTTCCAGAGTCTGCTGCCCACACGCTACTCTGGGGCTCACTACCTGCGCTGCTCCAGGACTTGCAGCCCATGCTGTTCCGGGTCTTGCAGCCCACGCAGGAAAGATTGAGCAATTTAGGCCTATACTCTCTGGAGTTTAGAAGAATGAGAGGAGATCTAATTGTAGTCTGTAAGATGCTTAAGGGAGTTGACAAAATAGAAACAGAGAAGATATTTCCTCATGTGTTTGAGAGGTGACCTTATAGAGGCCTATAAAATCAAGAGGGGTATAGATAGGGTTAATGAGAAGTGGCTTTTCCCTAGGGTGGGGGATATTAAGACTATTTTTAAAGTGAGAGGAGAGAGATTTAAAAGAGACAAGAGGGGCAAATTTTTTTATACAGAAGATAGTTTTCATGTGGAATGAATTTCCTGAGGAAGTGATGGATGTGGGCACAGTTACAATGTTTAAGAGACTTTTGGATAAATACATGAATAGGAAAATTTTGGAGGGATATGGGCCAGGAGCAGGCAGGTGGGACTAGTTTAGTTTGGGATTATGATTCGCATGGACTGGTTGGACCAAAGGGTCTGTTTCCGTGCTGTATGACTCTATGATTCTATGACTCTATGTGGGCTATTCTAGAACAAGAGATCGTAGTTTTAGGATGAGGGGAAGCAGATTTAAAACAGAGATGAGGGGGAATTACTTCTCTCAAAGGGTCATGAATCTGAGGAATTCACTCCCTCAGAGTGCAATGGATACCAGGACACTGAGTAAATTTAAGGAAGAGACAGATTTTTCATTAGTCCTGGGGTTGGAGGTTATGGGGGGTGGACAGGGAGTGGAATTGAGGCCAAGATGAGATCAGCCATGATTGTATTGAATGGCAGAGCAGGCTTGATGGGCTGAATGGCCTATTCCTGCTCCTGGTCTTTATGAAGTAAGAAGCAGCACAAGCATTACTGCACACTCATCCAAGAGTAAACCAAAGTGACATAGAGCCAGAAAGGACAGTATTAAACCAGACGCAAAGTCTCCTCTTTGTTTGCTCATTTAATTACAGAATACTGAATTACAAATGTCTGCCTCCTGCATAATAAACTAAGTGTCCTGGCAGTCTCTCTTTACAAGTGCTCCGCACTTAATTTACCAATTCTTTTGCATCATAACAATGAGATTAAGATTCCATTAACCATAAATAAGTGGCTCAGAGGCAATTCCCCAGTTCTCCCACCCCTCTCTGGAAAACAATTTGCTTTCAACCTTTGAAATAAATCTGTAATAATGACTCAGTCTTAGTGATAGTGACCAGGAAGCTACTGGCGTTGTTATAAAAACCCACCTGGTATACTCATGTCCTTTAAGGAAGGAAATCTGTCTTCCTTAGCCAGTCTGCTCTACCTGTGACTCCAACCATGTAGCCTCACTGTTGACCCTTAATGCCCTCTAAAATGGACAGGCCATCCACTCAGTTCAAGGGTAATGTGATGGCTTTTAAGAGATCATTTTGTCCTGGTTTCTTTTAAGAGAGAAATTGATCGAGAGGCACCTAGCTGCCTACTAAAGATCATTTGAGTAAACAGCTTGGGAGACCTTTGTTTTTTTTTAATGCAGCCTAAATGATTGTGGCCAGCTCTCACAGATCAGGATTTCTGAGCAGCATCAGAAGCTATTGGAGTCTCTAAAGAGTTGGAAGCTTCAGTGAATGTTTCCTGGCTGCCACTCTCTCTCAATTTTCTCTTGATGTTTTTTTTCTTCTTGGATTGGAGAACTGCATGTGAGAATCTGTGTCAGAATTTTCCTTTTTGCCAAGGGGTGTATTTATGGGATGTTGCTATATTGGAACAGTTAATTTAGTGATAGCTATTGTATCTATTATTCTGTTAAGTTTTCTAATAGAGTTAAGTTTTTCTAAGTTCTTTCTTCCTTTGTATTTTAACTACAGTGTTTAAAATAAATTATATTTTGGCTAACATCGAGTAGTTTGCTAGTCACTTTGCACCTGGAACAGAGCACTTCACATCTGCCTTTAAAATAAGGAAATGTTAGGGTCTAAGCTACGGTCTTAAAATATTTTGAGGGAGTCTAGTCTGGTCTGGTCCATAACTGTAACTAGGGACAGGCAATGATGACTGGTCCTATCAGTGATGTCCAGATCCCACGAATGTATAAAGGCAGTTGAAGGTCTTCAAACAGATCCATTAAACTGCTAGATTAATGCAGGTTGCAAAGCAGTGGATGAAACTCTCTTTCTGTCTCTTTCTCCCCAGTATCTCCTTTTAATTTGAAGTTTGTGAGTTATTCCCTGTGTCCTTGGGCCTATACATGCTCTGATCAATCCAATTCCTATGTAAATAATTGGCCACAGGTCGCCTGCTTTGATCTTGTTTGTAATTCCTGCATCCTGCACCATTCGCCTGAAGCAACCTTCCGGAGAGTTCTTTTCCCCGAACCACCCTCTGCAATATCCAGCGGGCAGCAATGAGTCCTGGGACATCTCTGCACCGAGTGGTTACGTTGTGAAAGTTTATATCCCTTACTTGGACATTGAACGATCGGAAGGGTGTTGGAGCAGCCACTTACAGGTACTGAGTCTGGAGAAGGCACACAAACAATTGACAAAGATTACAGTGTTCTGTGAAGCTTCAAATATCACACAGCAATAACTATTACCAAGTGTCTCGTGGTATAGCAGTAGCATCTCTACCTGTGTTCAAATCCCACTTACTCCAGAGATGTACAAAAGCACCTCTGCTAAGTTTAAATCTGAGTTAGATCCAGGCATTATTTTTGAGCTAAAGGAGATGGACTGAAGACAGGTATATGAAATTAAGCCACAGATTATCTCACTGAAAGGTGGAACAGGATTGAGGGGCTGAATGGCCTACACCCGTTCCTGTGAAACCGATTATCAGTATATACCGCTTCTCTCTAGAATAGAGAAAGTTAAAGAGTTAACTCATTGAGACAATTAAGATTGGATGATGATGCAGGTTTGATATAAAGACAATGGTTGTGTGAGAGATCAGAACTGAGGGTCCTCTATAAAATGCAGTCTCGAATTAATCCCCTGGGGAGTTTGGACAAAACTCCTCAATTCAGACAGCCCAGCCTATGTGGAAATATAAGTACTGGTATGGGCCATTTGGGATGAATGGCGTGTTACAGTGCTGTAAATAAGATGTAACCCCATGTACCTTAATGGATTATTGTTCTTGATGAGAATGTTGATGCTTTGAGTATGCAGGGTCAAGATTTGTCACTCCGGGACAAGCTTATGAATGAACTGCTGAGACACTAACAAGTTGTCCTCAGCAGCTAAGGCTATACCACATAGGAGTAAAAGTAGGCCATTCAGCCCATCAAGTCTGCTCGAATTTCAATGAGATCATCGCTGATCCTATCATCCTTAACTCCATTTTCCTGCTGCTCCCTTCAATTCCCTTCCTGATTAAAAAATCTGTCTATCTCAGCCTTGAATATATGTAACAGCCCAGCCTTGACAGGAGGAATTTCACAAATTCATTCTCCTGAGAGAGGAAACTCTTCCTCATCTCTGTCTTAAATGTGTGACCCTTTATTCTGAGACTATGCCATCTCGTCCTAGTCTCTCCCACAAGGAGAACATATGTCTCCACATCTCCTCTGTCAAATCCCCCTAAAAGTCTTGTATGTTTCAATAAGGTCGCCTCTCATTCGCCCCATGGCTCGGTGGTTAGCACTGCTGCCTCACAGCACCAGGGAGCTGGCTTTAATTCCACCCTCGGATGACTGTCTGTGTGGAGTTTGCACATTCTCCTTGTGTCTGCGCGGATTTCCACAGGGTGGTCTAGTTTCCTCCCATAGTCAAAAGATATGCAAGTTAGGTGAATTGACTGTGCTAAATTGCCCCATAGTGCAATACAAGGATAGGTAAGGGGTTAGGTCTGGGTGGGATATATCTTTGGAGGGTCAGTGTGGACTCGTTGGGCCGAATGACCTGTTTCCACACAATGGGAATTCTATGATGATTCTTCTAAACGCCATTGAGTATGGGCTCAATGTCTCCTCATAAGAAAGTCCCTCCATACCTGGGAACAGTCAAGTGACTATGACTCTTGTCTTTGTTTGTTTTACCAAAATACAATACCTCGTATTTATCCAAATTAATCTCTGACATTTTTCAGCCATTGACCCAATTGATCAAGATCCCTTTGTAATCTTAGAGAACCTTCTTCATCGTCTACTATGCCACCAATTTTGGTGTCACCTGCAAACTACCTAACCATGTTTCTATGTTCCCAACTCAGTCATTTATATAAATCCTTTCAAACCTATACATTCGCTTATTCTGAGTCAGAAGATCAAAGCAATAAGAATTTATCACTCGTTATTAATTGTACAAAGGCAGTTAAGGGTCAGGAATCCAATGTAGGCCCAAATGGTCACCATTTAGATAAACTGGACCAGGTGATATTTGAGCTCTACCCATCTGCTGTGGTGAAATTTGAACCATTGAGTTCACAGACGGGCTGTTGAATTAACACTATAGCGATAATACTGAAGAGGGTAGTTTGTACTCTTGTGATGCTGAACACTAATGCTCTGTCACTGCCCAACAGATTCTTTCAGAGGGAAGGGAGCTGGCCAAGCTGTGTGGCAAATGGGAAGATGATGGTAGCAATCCGGAACTGCATGAGTACTATTCCACCAGTAACACACTGAGAGTCTTGTTCACATCGAAGGATCTTGAATCCAAGCCGTTTACTGGATTTCTAGCGCTCTACTCTCATGTTGGTAAGTCACCAATGTGTGGAGACCCCAGAACTGTTTTTCTTTTTTGGATTACTCCATCAAGACCAGGCCCTGGTTGTTCAAACCTAGTTCTTTGTTTTTTGTCTTTTGTAAAGTACAATCCCATTTTCACAATTCGGTGCCTGGGAATCATGTTTTCACATGTAGATCCAGGAGAACAGTGCGGGGTTGGGGGGTTGGGGGGTTGGGAGGGGGGGATGTGGCCAAATCAGTGACCGGAGAGATTGGAGGGGTCGGGACAGTCATAGAGTCATAGAGTTGTGCAGCAGAGAATCAGACACTTCGGTCCAACTCGTCCATGCCGACCAGATAGCCTAAACTAATCCAATCCCATTTGCCAGCATTTGGCCCATATCCCTCTAAACCCTTGCACTTCATATACCCATCCAGATGCCTTTTAAATGTTATAACTGTACCAGCCTCCACCACTTCTTCTGGCACCTCGTTCCATACACACACCACCCTCTGCATGAAGAGTTATTCCTTAAGTCCCTTTTAAATATTTGCTCTCACGTCTTAAACCTACGCCCTCTAGTTTTGGACTGCCTTACCCTGGGAAAAACACCTTAGCTATTCACCCTATCCATGCCCCTCATGATCTTATAAGGTCACCTCTCAGCCTCTGATGGTCCAGGAAAAATAGCACCAGCCTACTCAGCCTCTCCCTATAGCTCAAACCCTCCAACCCTGGTACCATCCTTGTAAAACTTTTCTGAAACCTTTCAAGTTTAACAACATCTTTTCTATAGCAGGGAGGTCAGAATTGAATGCAATATTCCAAAAGTGGCCTCACCAATGTTCTGTACAGCCACAACAAGATGTCCCAACTCCTATCCTCAATGCACTGACCAATAAAGGCAAGCGATTTGATCCTCTCCTGATTGGACATTTGACAGAGGTGTTCATGTCAGGACAGAGTAAACAGAGACACTTTGAGCCCATGGATGGGAGTATCAAGAAACAGAAAATAAGAGCAGGAGTAGGTCATTCAGCCCCTTGAGCCTGCTGAGCCATTCAATATGATTGTGGCTGATCATCCGAATTCAGTCTCCTGTTCCCACTTTCTCCCTCTACTCATCAACCCCTTTAGCCCTGAGAACTATATCAGACTCCTCCTTGAAAACATTCAATGTTTTGGCATCAATTGTGGCAGAGAAGTGTCTGGATGAGCACTTAAAATGCCAGGGCACAGTCGGCTAAGGCCAATTGCAGGTAAATGGGTGCAGTATAGTTGGTGTTTATTGGTTGGCATAGACATGGTGGGCCAAAGGGCCTGTTTCTCTGCTGTGTGGCTCGATGACTCAATGATGATGACAGTAAGGGACCATTGATTTTACAGAATTAGTGAAAGAATCGACATGAGCTAAATCTTTCACACACAGCAAGCGCTTAACGTCTGGTGCATGCTGTCTGAGAGTGTGGGGAGAATGGACAGCTGGTTCAATCGAGAGGGAATTATCTGAAGATGAAGGAATTTCAAGGTTACAGGAGACAGTGGAGGAATGACAAACTTCTAATGCAGGTACGATGGGTTGAGAAACCTCCTCCTGCCCATTACCACCAATTCCCAACCACTCACCATCCTGATTTGGAAATATATCAGCCATTCCCTCAGTACTGCTGGGTCAAAATCCTGGAACTCCCTCCCCAATGGCACTGTGTGTGTGTTCCTACACCACACAGACTGTAGCTATTCAAGAAGGCAGCTCAGCCCCACCTTCTCAAGGGACAATTAGGCATAAATGCCAACCTGATTGAGGGGTGACCTTATAGAGGTTTCTAAAATCATGAGGGGTATTGTTAAGGGGAAGAGCACATGTCTTTTCCCAAGGGTGGGGTTTTCAAGACTGGGGGCATATTTTTAAAGTGAGAGGAGAAAACCATGAGGGGCAATTTTTTTACACAGAGAGTGGTTCACATGTGGAATGATCTTCCAGAAATGATGGATGCAGATACAGTTACAACGTTTCAAAGATAAGTACATGACTAAGAAATGTTTGGAGGGATATAGGCCAAGCGCAGGTAGGTGGGGCTAGCTTAGTTTGGGATTATGGTCAGTGTGAACTGGTTGGACCGAGGGTCTGTTTCTGTGCTGTATGATTCCATGACTGACATGCCATGCCCAATTCCGGAAAATAACACAAAGATGCATTAGAAAGCAATTTAGCAATTGCGTGGTTAGTGCTTTCATTAAACATAAGGATAAGAATGCACTTAAAATTTACACATTTAGACTTTTATTGAGATCTGAAACCATGAGGCTAAGGCTTTGCTGGAAATAGGTCAGGCATATACATTTCCAGTCAGTTTTATTCCAGCTTAAATAACGCTATAAATACATTGATTACTCATTCCCCATTCATTCAGTCTCACTGAATCATTCATTGATGCCTTATTTCATTTCATCTCAGGCAAATCTGCCAGACCTTATTGAGATACACACGTAGGATAAGGGATGGATTAATAGAGGTGGAATGATGAGGAGCATTTGCTCCTTTTGAGGAGGAAATACAGTAGCAGACACCAGTTAGGGTGAATGGCCTCTTCTTGTGCTGTAAGATCTTATATGGCGGTGTATCACAGTTACTGAGAGACTTTGAGATGGCTCCTAACTGGTGTCTTAAAGGAGGAAAGTGAGTTCGACAGACAGAGAGGCTAACGGGGGCAAGGTTTCAGAGCTTTTGAACCCAGGCTACTGGAGGCATAGCTGCCAAAAGTTGAGAATATCAAAATTGGGAAGACACAAGAGGCAAACATTGAGGATCCAAGGTATCTCAGAGATTTGTGGAGATGTCAGGAGTGTGAGGGAATACTCCCCACTTGCCTGGAAGGGCACAACCACAACAACACTCAAGAAGCTCAACACCATCCTAGACAAAGTAGCCCGCTTGCTTGGCACCACATTCACTCCCTCCATCACCAATGCTCAGTTGCAGCAGGGTGTACCATCTATAAGATGCACTGCAGAAATTCGTCAAGGCTCCATAGACAGCAACTTCTGAACCCATTACCACAACCATGTAGGAGGATGAGGGCAGCAGATACATGAGAACACCAGCCCCAGCAAGTTCCCCTCCAAACCAATCGCCATCCTGACTTGGAAATAGATCGGCCGTTCCTTCAGTGTCACTGGGTCAAAATCCTGGAACTCCCTCCCGAATGGCACTGTGTGGGTGTCCCTACACCACCCAGACTGTAGCAGTTCAAGAAGGCAGCTCACCACCACCTTCTCAAGAGGCAATTAGGGACAGATATTTCACCATCTCAAGGGGCAATTAGGGATGGGCAAAAATTGCTGGAACCCACAACCCATGAATAAATAAAAAGTCTATTTCATTGTGCCAATAAAGAGCTCTTGTGGTACAGTGGAAATAGAGCCATAGAGCTGTACAGTACAGAAACAGACCCTTTGGTCCTACTCTTCCATGCTGACCAGATATTCTAAATTAATCTAGACCCAGCGGCTATACCAGCTGACAAAGTACGCATGGCAGTAATCCTCAATAGAACCCAACATATCGAGAAAGCTGACACACTACTAGCAGATACTAACATCTACCAACAGATGGCAATAGACCCAAGATCACAGTAAGGAAACCTGAAAAAAATTACACAACTCAGGAGACATCGATAAGACACACCACCAAAAAATGAAGCCAGACGAATCCAATACACGGCAATTCTACAGACTCCCCAAGATACATAAACCAGGAGTCCCCCTCAGACCCATTGTCTCATGACCAGGTACACCAACATATAGACTTGCCAAAGAAGTGCAACAGAAATTGAAATACTTAGTGGCTAACGCCATCTACTCCATCCAATCATCCCAAGAATTCCTCAACATCATCAAGGACACCAGGATAGAAGAGGACAAGATGATGATAGCCTTCGACGTAACAGCACTGTTTACATCCACAAACATTGACCTAGCCAAAGAAACAATTGCCACACTGCTGGATGAACCAAGTAAGCAGACAACACAAGACACCAACAACATCAACAAGGACACCACCATGAAACTACTAGATCTGTGCCTCACATCCCACTTCACCTTCAACAACAGCATACACAAACAAATCAACAGAACACCAATGGGATCCCCAATGTCATTACTGATTGCAGAAGTAGTAATGCAAAGGTTAGAACACACAGCGCTGCCCACTATACAACCCAAACTTTGGGTCTGATATGTAGATGATATCTTTGTGATTATTAAATGCACAAAACTGGAACAAACCTACCGAAACATAAACAACATCCTTACTGGGATAGAATTCACGAGAGAAGGAGAGAACAACAACCGACTACCCTTCCTGGACATAATGGTAGAACGCAAAAACAATGAGGAACTCCAGACTAGCTTATATAGAAAGACCACACATATGGACCAGATACTCAATTACACTAGCAACATCCCAACGCCCACAAACGGAGCTGCATCAGGACACTATTTAAACAAGCCACAACACATTGCAGCAACCCAGAACTATGCAAAGCAGAACAGGAACACTTAGACGTTGTCTTCAAAAGAAATGGATACCCGAAAAGCACAATCCCCCATTACCTCCGAGACAGACCACAACAAGAAGCCACAACACGACCAGAATCACTTATCACTCTACCGTACATCAAGAACATTTCAGAGATGACCACAAGACTACTCAGATCTCAAGGTATCAGAGTAGCCCACAAACCGACAACCACCCTACGACAGCTACTGATGAGTTTAAAGGATCCCATACCCAATACCAGCAAAGCTGGGGTTATATACAAAATACCATACAAAGACTGTGAGAAACAAGATATAGGCCAAACTGGAAGAAAATTGACTATACAGATACACGAACACCAACTACTCGCCAAGAGACATGACCAATTCTCACTTGTCTCTCTACACACGGACAATGAGGGACACGAAGTCGACTGGGACAACACATTGATAATTGCACAAGCCAAACAGAGGCATGCCAGGGAATTCCTGGAGGCCTGGGTATTCCAACCGGAACTCCATCAACAAACACATTGAATCAGACCCTGTGTGCAAACTGAGAAGCAAAACCGGAAATAATACCAACCACCCCAGCAAACTGAGGCATATAAATGACAAGTGGGACAGAACACCAACGCTTTGCCTGAGGCGCGCTGACGATTTTACACTGGCTCGGCGAGCATGTCTACAACCTAATCAAGTCCCATTTGCCAGGATTTGGCCCATATCCTTCTAAAACCCTCCTATTCATGTCCCCATCCAGATGCCTTTTAAATGTTGTAATTGTAACCAGCCTCCACCACTTCCTCTGGCAGCTCATTCCTTACGCGCACCACTCTCTGCATGAAAAAGTTGCCCCTTAGGTCCCTTTTAAGTCTTTCTCCTCTTATCTTAAACCTACGCCCTCTACTTTTGGACTCCCCTACCCTGGGGAAAAAGACCTTGGCTGTTCACCCTATCCATGCCCCTCATGATTGTATAAACCTCCTTAAGGTCACCCCTCAGCCTCCGATACTCCAGGGAAAATAGCCCCAGCCTATTCAGACTCTCCCTAATACTCAAACCTTCCAACCCCAGCAACATCCCTGTAAATATTTCCTGCCCATACCTCTGACCCAGGAGGCCCAGCTTGACTTCCCACATGCCAGAGAGGTGTTCGTGAACATCTCTGAATGGGTTGATTCGAAAATATCATAGAGTCATAGAGGCCTGCAGCGTGGAAACAGACGCTTTGGCCCAACTTGCCCATGTCGCCCAATTTTCACAATTTAAACCAGTCCCATTTGCCTCCGTTCAGTCCATATCCCACCATACCTATTCCGTCCATGTACCTCTCTACGTGTTTCTTAAATTATACTCGTGAGCACCACTACCTCTTGCAGCCTGTTCCAGGTACTCAGCACCCTCTGTGTGAAAATATTGCCCCTCTGGACCCTATTGTATCTTCATCTTAACATATACATGTATCGATAAATATACATTCATGCGAAAGTATCACACTGGACTCAAATCGTTAATTGTGTTTCACTCTCCACAGGAGCCACCTGAGTTTCTCCTTCTTTACTTTGGATCTCCAGCATCTGAAATATTTGGCTTTCGAGAGTACAGTTGTTGCTGTAACTTCGAGATCCACCCCCCACCTCCCCAAACTTTCTAAAGATGCGTTGATTTCCTTTACCCTATTCTCAGACTGGCTTTAATGATTGGGCCCTCTCTCCACCCAGATGTCAACGAGTGTGCCGTTGATGACAATGGATGTAGCCATTACTGCGGGAACACGATAGGTAGCTACCACTGCTACTGTCCTCGTGGCTTTGTCATTCAGACCGACACACGGACTTGCAAGAGTAAGTTTGCGAGGGTTTGATATTTGGTGAGACAGCTCCACAACAGTGTCGCAATTGTAACTTGTGTCAATGTCAGGTGGGGTTGGGTCCTTTGTACCCACAGACAGACTCCGTTGATGACAGTTCCATGGTGTAGAGTTGAGATTGTTCGCGGTATTTGTCACGTCCTCAGCTTTTCACTGGTCCACCACCCTAATGATGATACGTTCTCAATGAGAGGAGTGTCAACTACCCCTCTGAGCGACTCACCAGCCTGATTTGGAAATATATCGGACGTTCCTTCAGTGTTGCTGGGTCAAAATCTTGGAACTCCCTCCCTAAGGGCGCTGTGTGCGTGTCCCTACACCACACAGGACAGCAGCCATTCAAGAAGGCAGCGCGCCCTCACATTCTAATTAGGGATGGGCAACAAATGCTGGCCCTATTGATGCCCACGTCCAAATAAAAGAGCTTTAAGTACCCATTGTATGGTTAATTCATCAAAAGGAGGCAAAATTAGCCTTGTACTTGTCTACCAGTCTCTCAGTTAGAAGCTAAAATGGAATACAAGGTATTTCTAGGACAAAAGCAGGCCATTCAGCCCCCTCATCTGCTTCCTCCCGACACCCCGATGTCTCTCTCCTGGAGCGAATTAATGCTACTCACCTTCACCACTCTCTTTGGCTTCCCCACATCTCGCTGAGTGACAAGGTTTCTGTGTGATGTTGTGTTGGGTTTGTTGGTGAGGACCCTGCAGAAACAGTATGCAAGGAAGTTGTGCACGAAATAAATTTCCTCTTCCTGCCCAGTAGCCCTAGAGTGTGGCAGCCACTACTAGCCCAGCGAATAAGCCAGATTCAGCGAACTGGGGGCCAAGTTTCCTTCATTCCCTCCTCCCCACTCCCAAATCCTCCGCTCCATCCCACCCCTTCCTCACTGATCTACACCAAAACCCACCCAACAAAGCGCCCAGTCCTTCTTCTGTACAAAATTGCATCAAAGCGATAACAAATGAGGCCATTTGGCTCAGCAAGTCTAACTGCCAAGTATTCCAGTCAGTCCCATTTCCACTCTTCTCCCCACCAATCACTTTACTCGATCCCAAGATCAAATCCCTCAATTGTCCATCCAATTTCCCTCAAAATAATCCTGCCTCATGCCTCTATTTCTCCACATTAATTTTATTCTTCCTACAAAGCTTTCCAGCAGTTGGATTTTCATTTGGACCTTGAATTAAGACTCCAGTTACAAAGTCATACAGCATGGAAACAGACCCTTCAGTTCAACCTGCTGACCAGGTATCACAATCTGACAGAGTCCCATCTGCCAGCATTTGGCGCATTTCTCTCTAAATTATTCCTATTAATGTATCCATCCAGATGTCTTTTAAATCTTGTAATTGTATCAAGCTCCACCACTTCTTCTGGAAGTTCGTTCCATACACACATCACCCTCTGCCTGAAAAAGTTGCCCTTTAGGTCCCTTCTCACCTTAAACCTATGCCCTCTAGTTTTGGACTCCCCTACCCTGGGAAAAAGATTTGGCTATTCACCTTATCCATGCCCCTCATGATTTTATAAACCTCTTTAAGATCAAGAGAAAGAGTTGGAAGCTTGGGACATTTGCCCCGGCGCGTAGGAGGCTGTGGGGTGACCTCGTAAAGGTTTATAAAATCATGAGGGATATGGATATGGTGTAAAGCCAAGTCTTTTCCCCAGGGTAGGGGAGTCCAAATCCAGGAGGCATATTTTTCAGGTGAGAGGAGAAAGATTTAAAAGGGACCTGAGGGGTAACTTTTTCACACAGAAGGTGGTTTGTATGGAGGAAGAGGTAAATGCAGGTACAGTTCCAGCATTGAAAAGACATTTAGAGAGGTACATGAATAGGAAAGGTTTGGAGGGATATAGGCCAAATGCAACCAAGTCGGGCTAGTTTAGGCTGGAAAATTGGTTGACATTGATGAGTTGGTCTGAAGGTCTGTTTCTGTGCTGTATAACTCCATGACTTTAGACTCTATTCAGCCTCTCCCTGTAACTCAAACCCTCCAGGCCTGGTAACATCCTTGTAAATCTTTTCTGAATTCTTTCAAGTTTAACAACATCCTTTCTGTAGAAGGGCGATCAAAATTGTACGCTGTGTTCTAAAAATGGTCTCACCAAAGTTCTGTTTACCCACAACATGATCTTCCAACTCCTATACTCAATATTTTGATCAATGAAGGCAAATGTGCCAAAGACTTTCTTCACAATCCTGTCTTTCTGTGACTCCACTTTCAAGGAACCATGCACCTGCAACCCAAGGTCGTTTTGTTCATCAACACTCCCCAGGGCCCTCCCATTAATTAACATAGTTCCTGCCCTGGCTTGCTTTACCAAAATGCAATATCTCACATTTAACGAAATGAAACTCCATCTGCCAGTCCTTGGCCCATCTGACCAACGTCCCATTGTACTCTGAAATAACCATCTTCACTATGCCTCCAATTTTGGTTCTATTTGTTTCAGCTCCATTTCTCCTGTGAATCTGGTTCCAAAACTGTGACTTTTCAAACATGAACAGATCTCTTTGTGTTTTTATCTGTGGCTTTCCGTTGTGTTTCGTCCACAGAAGTACAAGTGTTCTGCCCCAATTGGGTGCTACAGAACAGTATCCTAGAACCCTCTTGGCCGAAGTTCGATGTTCGAGATACTGTGAAGGTAACCTGTGAACCAGGATATGAAATTGTCAAGGTGAGGGTGTAACATTGACGGTTTTCCATCTGAGGGAATCACTTCTGTAACGTCGTGGTCTTTTATGGCATGTGGGAGTCTCTGGGCAAGGCCCTTGCCCTAAGGGGAGATGATGGCCTAGTTGGAATTATGAGTGGTCTGTTAATCCACAAACCCAGGTAATGTTCTGGAGGACTTGTGTTTGAATCTTGCCACAGCAGATATTGGAATTTGAATCTAATTAAAAGTCTAATGATGACCATCAACCGATTGTTGGGAAAACTCCATTTGGTTCAGAAGAGTTGTGACCCAAAACATTAACTTTCCTGCTCCTCTGATACTGCCTGTGTTCCTCCAGCTCCACACTGTTATATTTGGTTCACTAATGTCCTTTATTAACAGAAGCTGCCATCCTTACCTGGTCTAGCTGACCAGCAAGGATGCAGAAAATATTTACATGGATGTTAAAGCATTTGAACTATAGGGAGAGGCGCAATAGACCACTTTTGGACTACTGCGTTCAGTTCTGGTCTCTCTGCTATAGGAAGGATGTTGTTAAACTTGAAAGTGTGCAGAAAGGATCTACGAGGATGTTGCCAGGGTTGGAAAGTTTGAGCTCTAGGGAAAGACTCAATAGACTGGGGCTATCTTCCCTGGAACGTCAGTGGCTGAGGGGTGACCTTATAGAGGTTTATGAAATCCCAAGGGGAATGGATAGGGTGAAAAGCCAAGATCTTCTTCCCCAGGGTAGAGGAGTCCAAAACTAGAGGGCACAGTTTTAAGGTGAGAGAGGGAAGATTTAAAAGGGACCTAAGGGGCAACGTTTTCACACAAAGGGTGGTGCATGTATGGAATGAGCTGCCAGAGGAAATGACGGAGGCTGGTATAATTACAACATTTAAAAGGCATCTGGATGCGTATATGAATAGAAAGGGTTTAGAGGGCTATGGGCCAAAAGCTAGCAAATGGGACTAGATTACTTTGGATATCTGGTCCACATGGACGAGTTGGACCGAAGGGTCTGTTTCCGTGCTGTACATCTCTATGACTCTATGACTATGACTCAATGTAGTTGACTCTTAACTGTGCTCTGGGCAATTACGGATGGGAAATAAATGACATCCTTATGCCGTGAATGAAAATAAAAACAAAATTACCCCTCAAATGGCTCGCTCAGACCATTCAGATGATAAGGCTGAAGAAGGGTAATTCCGGACTTAACACCTTAATGCTGCCTCAATCCGCATGTGGCTGTTGAGTTGCTCCAGTGTTCCCTACGTTTGTTTCAGATCTCCAGCATTTGCTCCATTTCACTTTGATGCTTTTGTCTTTGACTCTTAATTGCCCTCCGAGATGACCAAATGAGCCATTTAGTTCATGAGGGCACTTAGGAAGGAGCAACAAACATGGACCTCGTCAAATGACACCCACATTCAATATAAGATTTCAAAAAAGAAAGACAAGTTCATCTCCATTTGGGAGTTGGCTTTTGCACCTGGAAAGGGTCTATAGGTGAAATGTGGAAACTGTTGTTTGTGCTAACCAATGGCTGTACAACAAAACCCTTGCAATTCTTTCAAAGTTGTTTGTGGCTTAATATGGAAATTTATCTATTAGTTTTTGATCTGATTTTTGACATGATTTGAATTATTGTTGTCACATGTACCTAAGTACAGGGAAAAGTTTTGTTTTGCAAGCAGAGCAAGCAAACAGGGACATACAGATCATAGGGTGCTTCAACAGAATAAGGCATACAAGGTTACACTGCACAGGAGTTGTGCAAGCAGGATAAACATTGGATTTGAAATTAGAGAGGTCCATTTATCAATCTAATTATGGCAGGGAAGAAGCTGTTCTTGAATCTGCTGGTATGTGTGTTCAAGGTTCTGTATCTTCCCCCTGATGGAAGAAGTTGGGAGAGAGTATTACTGGGGTGAGAGGGGTCTTTGACAATGTTAGCAGTTTTTCCATGGCAACGAGAAGTGTAAATGGAGTCCATGGATGGGAGATAGTAGGAACTGCAGATGCTGGAGAATCCGAGACAACGAGGTGCAGGGCTGGATGAACACAGCAGGCCAAGCAGCATCACAGGAGCAGAGAGGCTGACGTTTCGGGCCTAGACCCTTCATCAGAAAAGGGGGAGGGGAAGGGGGTTCTGAAATAAATAGGGAGAGAGTGGGAGGCGGATAGAAGATGGATAGAGGAGAGGATAGGTGGAGAGGAAACAAACAGGTCGAAGAGGCGGGGA